TCGGCTATCCTATCCACAGCACCATGCACTACCACTAGTGTGCACGCTCGTCAAAGCCATCAACGTTTGTTTTCGCCTTGGTGTCCACTAGGTAACCTGGGTGACTCGAGAGGAAGCACGGAGGGAGTGGACTATGATATGGTGCACCATGTTACAACCAACTGGCGGGCACACCTTCGTAGGCTTTGTCCGTATCCCGCGGTAGAAGCGCGTTGTCGAGACCAATGTTGAGAAGCATGCTGCACGCTAACTTGGTGCGGTCAACAAACAGCCTGCAGGAGGTTACATTGAAAGGGAGCGTAGGTGAAGGGGCCACCAGTAAGGTGGCGATTGACATGAACAGCAAGGATTGCAAGGTATGCGGAGAAGTGGATGGGAAATGGCAATTTTTCGAAAGGAAACACGACATACTACTAGTACTGGCGAAAGACCTAGACAGGTGTTTGCGCCAGCGTGAGTAATGCGGACGAGCAGTGAGTTGGAAAGTGTGAAGAGAAAAGACATGGTGCCTGTGGAGTGAAGGCAACACATTGGTGCAGCTGTAGTACTAATGCAGTAAATGGAAGAAGGTGTTTGCAGTGCAAGGGTCGCAGCACCGACAAGCAGGAAGCAGTGAGTGCGAGGGACAACTTTGCGCAGTGGCGGTACCGTAGCCGATGAAGTCCAACTGAGGCGCGGTTATTGCTAGTTGAAAACTACTCCCAATTGCCCGCACAGACGACGTGAGATATCGTCGGCTGGTGCAATTTTTGCTGGGTCGCAAAGCGGCCCCATGATGTGAAGCAAGCCTCTCTCTGCTACCCGAGTGCGCGTCTCACCTGGGCTTGCACCTTCTCCCACTCGCGCCACCAGTTGGCCTTCTGGCCCTCTACCACTTCCCGCTTTACTCCCACTGTCCTCTCATTCTGCTCCAACGTCTTCCGACACGCCTGCATGCACTTTTGCGATTGCCTACGACAATGCTGGCCGGCATCGTTTAAGCTTGGCTACATTTATGCATCAACACGGCGTCGTGTTGAGAGGCCCTCTACCCACTAAATGCCACGTGCCTCAAGAGGTGTATTGTGTCTTGTGCAACGAGGAGAGCCCTCCCTCGGTGCTTGCAGTCCATAGAAGTGG